GATCATCTTTTACTTTCGCACATTTGCATCGACAGAACATAGTTTTTTACGGCTCCTTCCTTTTATTTTCCCAGCCTGTGTTTCTGCTATATCTTATATTTATTACAATGCATGTGACCAAAAATTTTGCGTTGCCTATTATTTGATTATTTAATGGTTTCCGCGATTGATCTTGCAATCGCTTTGTTTCTATTGTACCATCGTCATTAAGAAATATTTCTTTCGCTTCGTGTTGATAATTGTCTTCGACATTGACTGACATTTTAGTTACTCCAGTTTTCAATCGGCATGTACCAATTTTTTATTATCATCTTCTTATCTTTAATTATCTCAGTTTTTCTTTTACGTGTATTTTGTTGTTGATTGTTCATCACCATTTAATTGTCTTCATGCAACAGAAATCCTTGCACTAATGTCAACATCTCATAATTACACAACTGAAGTATTGTGTGTCGTTGCAGTGATAACACTGCTTTGCTGTCACTTGAAGGCTATCACTCTCCTTTTTCATTGGCGACATTGGTGTGAAATGTGCAATAGAAGTTTTTCTCTGTTCTGACGAACAAGCAATTATCTATCTCTGTCAGTTTGATAAGATAATGTGCACAATTGAAACAGACACTTTTATTTGGCCTTCTACATGCTGTTAGATAGTAAAAACGAGTTCTGCATTGCAACAAACCTATCTTTCTTCTTACGAAGGATACAGAGTCCTGCACGTTATCTATTAGAGACCGACATGGATCGTACATAACCTTGGATCGGATCAACAAAATTTTGGCTTATGGGAAAACTAGGGTCAGGCCAGCAATCGAAAAAATCGTGAACTTTAAAGTTCTTGTTTAAAGTTACACGTACTATTTTGTCGAGTTTTTTGCTTTTCATCCTCTACTGATAACTGGTACGCGCGAGAGTTCTATGAAAAAGCACCCCATTTCGTAGGTTTTTGTGGAATGAGATAGGAAATGGTTGTTGAAGTTATATAGCAAGAAGTTCGATCCATTCTCTTCCTCGCACAGACCGTGATATACAAAGAGAATGAAGTTTTTGATTAATAACTAAATAACTATGTATTATTGTTTAATGTCACAGACTGGCAGACAAACCGAAAAGATAGGATTTTCTAGCATGACAGACTACTTGAGACATTTTGCCGTGTTAATTCATCCCATCGAGAAAGATAAAATGATTGATGTGGACTGGACTTTTGTTTACGGATAAATCGATCCATCGTCATTCACATTGTAATCAGTATAGGATTACACTGAAAGTTTTTAGTATTTGAAAGATGCAATCTTTGAGATCTGACACGAAGTTTCGCATTATCCTTACATGCATCGGCGATGAGCCTGTGGTTCCTGGAAAGTAGAGCCGAGTGGATCCTACCGAGACCTGGTCGGATCCGAGTCCTGGTCAAAAATAGAAATTTGGCTCAAAATGATCTAATGAAGAGATTTCATTGTGAAATATTAACAATGTTGCACTAGCAAATCATAGAATCGATAGAAAATGACTTCATTTGAAAATTAAAAACTTTTTATTAGTATTTTGTAACTTTTAGTTAGGAGTTTTCTTTTTATTCTTTTACTTTTTACTACAATTTTTCTAATGGTAAAAGAATTCTACAGAAAAGTGATTCATAAAAATAATAAATAATGACCAAAAACAATCGAGAAAAGAAACTGAATTCTATCAATTATCAATAATGAATTCATTACTCGCCAGTGAAACAGTCGATGATGCATTGATTTGCATTTCGGAAAGAAGAACGGTTCATTTCTATTGTTGCGCGATATTTAACAAGAAGTAGTGTACAACGAAGGAAAACAGAAATGGAGTGAAACGTAGGAAACTGTAGCTTCATTAATGTGAGATCTATGGAAAACGATGAAAAATAGCGAGCGATATGTTGAGCTCTTGATGAAGTGATCTTTTCGAGCAATAGCGAGATACAAAGAGAGGAACTTGGCGGGTGCAACGTCAGTTAAAATGATCGTTTGAGCATAAGAAATACGCATGTTGCTATTGAAGCTGATCTAAATGAGTAGGCGACCCTCAGAAATCTATTTAATGAATTCAGGAAAACAAATTGCGAAAACTGTGCGCTCGTTACTACCGAGAATTAAGCCTATTTTGAAGTAACTAATGTACGAAATGTTTTGAATTAAGTACATTGCCAACCATATTCGTATAGAAAACCCATATCTGCTTTCGCATTTAATGTTGAAGAAGTGGTTGAAAAAAATAGAAAGGGTTTTCGTACTCTCTATGTCAACAAACATGCGTTTAGCATAGAGTCAAATGCGAAAATTCTTTCCCGTTTTGTGGCATATATGTTTTTTACCGTACACTTCACTAGCCCAAGATCCAGTTTGCATAATGACGAGCCAGCGGAATAGTTCAAAGCAATTCTATGTCGATAGAGAATTTCACATGCTACTCAACACACTATCAGAAAATTTTTTGAATTCATGTACCCAGATGCAATAATTCTGTTTTAGTTACGATGGAGAACCTTTCAGTCAGCTACTATCAGAACGTCGAAGTATTAGAAATGATGTTGTATTCGTTTCTTTTCGCAGAGGTCACTAGACACATATACCATTTTCAACCTTAGATTCGACTAAAAGATTTTACCGCCAATAAAACTTGAAAATAATTCCAGTTTTAATAGCCTCATCAGAAACCTATTTTTGTTCCAGAAAATCAGCTTTTGATAGGATTTTCACGGAAGGCATATTTTACCTAAGAAGGATAGCACGAAAAGTCCGAGTTTGGAATACAGAATTTTCTGAGACTTATCTTTAACTGAAGAGTTACAATGTAGTTATTCGCGCGTCAAAGATTTCTTGGCTGTTTTAAATGCTAGAAACTTCGAGGATGTTTTAAAATGTAGTCAAGACTTGCCGATACAATTTAACTGAGTCAGATTTTTATTCTTTTTTGTTTTTATACTTTTTTCTGAGTCTCCTTGAAAAAGTTGAATAAATTATGGGTCACTTTTCAGAAAACTTATTTTTTTGCAAACACTTAACTGGAAATAAAAAAATTGACTCAGCTATATTGTGGAACTGGGGTTTTGCTCCATTTCAAATCTTAAACGAGCTTTCTAGCATCAGAGTCCTGCAGAATAACCCTATTCTATCCTAACCTACTGCACCATACAGGGTGGGGTATGTTAAAAGTGGTACAATCATTATCCAGGGTAGAATTAGGATGCTGTTAATATTGCTAAAAGACTCTTAGCAAGCCACTTGGAAGATGCTACTGACTTCTTTCCGATTTAGAAGTCGGTGTTTATGTTAACCATTAAAGGCCGAAGGTTCCTTCCAAGGGACATTTGAATAACTGCAATAAAAAGCTTAATAGGACCTTGTATAAAGAAACCAATATTTTTCTGGACTAAGAGAATCTTGAAGGCCATACCGAGATCAAAATATAATTTTCAAGTGATTGTCAGATGGAACAATAGATTGCTTACGATTGATGATTTTTTTAATGTCACTTTTTTTTCTTAAATTTTTGTTTAATCATAAATGCAACGTGTAGCCTTATTTACTTTACGGAATATTCTTAAATATAGCATCAAGGTATCTGATGAAACCATTCCGTAAGTTTTTAGCCGATCTACTGGCAAATTATGCCATCACAAAGAAAATACTCCTTGGATGAGATATTCAGCCTCATAGAAAAATCGAAACAAAGGAATTTTAATCTAAAATTTTGCTCATATGTAGCTCTAATGATATTTAGAGTGCCCTGAAATTTTCAGCAACAACGATTGTTTCCTTCTCGAGATACAGAATGTTACAAAAAAGTCGGTTTTGGGCAGATTTTTGCAAAATGTGGCCGGTTTTTTTGGGTATCAAATAGCTCAACAAGAAAGCATCCGTTTTGTGTGAAAATTTCAGGCTGAGTTGAGGACTATGAAACCTACTTATGGACAAAATTTCAGATCGAAATAACTATCTTACGATTCCTTACAAGGCCGGATATGTCCCCTAAAGAGCATTGCGTATCTCTGGCAGAAGAGCAAGGTAATTCTTTTTAGCTATAGTATGAGTATACTGAGGGTCCATAATCTCTATTTTTGTGACTAGCTTCCTCCTGTTGTAAGAAAAAAATCCCTTCGGCCGTAAAGGATTAATGCGAAATAAGGTTTGGTAAAGAAGAATCAATATTGAACTAATGTTCGCGCCAGAATTAAAGAGAGGCTAGTGTAAATTGAATAACTCAACAACGGCAACAGCTAACGACCTACGATTTTCACCACTCGAAAGAGGAAACCGAAGGACGTATTTGTTCACGATATTGCTTCGGACAAAATTGCTTTGGACGCTGTCATTTCTGAAAGTCTTTTCTGAGAAGACGTACAAATGGTATTCCAATACAATGAATTTTTATTTTTATATTCTCATCAGATAGAGGAACTTCAGATCTATAGTTCAAGATACAATGCGCTTTCTTACTTTTCATTACATTTTCATCGAAGTGTCAAGCTATTAGGATAAAAAAATGCGAAAACTTAGCAAAAAATCAGCAAAATTCCCTATTATTTGCGCATGTAAATATATGTTTTCATTTGCTCAACATTAGAATATGATAAGAGAATCATTTGCATTGTTTCTTGAACTATGGATCTGAAGTCCCTCTATCTAATGAGAATATCAAAATAAAAATTCATTGTATTAGCATACCATCTGTACGCCTTCTTAGAAAAGATTTCCAGAAATAAAAGTGCCCAACACAATTTTGTTCGAAACAGTATCGTGAAAAAATACGTCTCCCAGTTTCCTCTTTCGATTGTTGAAAACCACAGGTCGCTAGGTGTTGCCATTGTTGAGTTATTCAATTTACACGAACTCCTCTTTAATTCTGGCACGGACATTAGATAGATTATTGAAATGCATCTTTGAGCAGTTCTGTTTTGCCAATACTTCAAGAGTTTCTAAGCGGATTTAATTTGCTAAAGTTGATTTTGGGTTTTAGAGTAATTAGCAATGGTATCACTTGACAAAGTGGCAGACTTAGCCTCGATAACGACTGAACAGGAATTAGAAAATGATGAAGAATTGTTACAACCCTTAGATCGAAGAGTTGAAGAATATGCCTATTGGGAACAACAGATTGATGCTGTACTATCATTATTATACAGGAAACGATTTATGAATGTCCATATGCTACGGAAAGGTATAGAATCAATTGATAAAGCAATCTATAGTAAATTAAGCTATTATGAGCGATGGGCTATTTCTATTGCTAAGCATTGTTTGGAATCTGGTATATTAACTCAAGAAGATTTGAATAATAAATATGGGCCACCTTTACATTCAACAGATGAGCAATTATTTCAGGTTGGTGATAAAGTACGTGTTCATCATGAAAACTATGCTACCCGTTGGATTAAACCTCATTTACGCACTCCGGGTTATTTGTATGGCAAAGTTGGCATTGTTGAAAGGTGTTGTGGATCATATCCGAATCCTGAATACTTCGCTTATGATAACACTGATAGTACTACTCATAAGCAACCTCTTTATCGAGTAAGATTTAATCAAAAATATATTTGGAATCGTTATGAAGGTGGTAATGATGATACCATTGATGTAGAAATCTATCAACATTGGCTAATGCCAGCATCTCAATCTCATTCATCAACAGAAGATGATGAAGAGGAAGGTTCTCATGAACATGATTGTGGTCATCAGCACAACGATCATACTCACGATCATATTCACGAGGCTAGACCTATTATAGAACAAACAGCGATAAATCGTGAAGGCACACCGTTACCTGTTCAACATTTAGCAGAATCATTAGTGAGTGCATTAATTGATAAAAATATAATCGATCCTGAAGAATTACGCAAACAGATTGAAATTAATCAGATGGCTGGAGTAGAACAAAGAGGAGCAAATATTGTTGTTGAAGCTTGGTTAAATCCTGAATTTAAAGAACGCTTATTAATAGATGGTACGCGTACAATTGTTGAATTTTTGAAACTTGACAAAGTGAATAATGATTTCGTGGTGTTAGAAAACACGGATAAAATTCATAATTTAGTTGTATGTACTCTTTGTTCTTGTTATCCTCGACAATTGCTAGGTATACCTCCTGGATGGTATAAGTCAAGATCGTATCGTGTCCATGCGTCTAGGAATCCTCGTTCTATTTTACAAGAATTTGGAACGGTACTTCCTGACGATATGAAAATTCAAGTTCATGATAGCACTGCTGATTTACGCTATCTGGTAATTCCTCGTCGTCCTGCCAATACTCAGCATTGGTCTCGAGAACAATTGATACCAATAGTTACTCGTGATAGTATGATTGGTGTTTGTGATATTACTACTTAAACTAATATATTTTCATAATTATTCAATTATCAAACCATTAATGAAAGAAACTTTAATTCAACACATTTTTTCGTTTACATTTCTTCAAGTTTTGAAAGTGATTACAAACTAAACTGAAATGTGCTCTGTCGCATCTATACATTTATTCTTGCTATAATAAAGCACATCGACCAGTAATGTAACCAATTTTGTTTAAAGAAAATTAGGAGTGAGGATGTAGGTATGAATATGAGTGTGATTATAAGCCTAGAGAACATTACCATCCATGCCCATACACCAACATCGTTTATTCTAAGTAAATTGTATGCTCACAGATAAAACTTGAATTTAATATAACGGAAGTGACCTGTTCACCTTTAATATCAATGAATAACGTGACGTCAGTCCATAATCATTGAAAATATTAATGATTAAGTGACCGTTAAATCTCAAATGTCGTATAGTTGTAAATGGTCTATTTCATTTTAAAGTGTTTCGGGACGAACACAGGGACATTAATGTAGATATATATGGATAGACATAGATCTATAGAGACAGATTGAGAGGATAATTTAAGCGGTTAGATAAAGGCAATAAATCGAAGGATAGAATAACCAGTTAAATTAATAAAGTTTTACTGCATTGAGCATTAAATTTCATGTATTTATACTCATTTATAGGATGTAAAATTCTTGCTGTGTGAGCTATTTTCTTACATGGCGATTTTTGGATATACTTTCTGAAAGTAGGACTGAGAATTGAACATAATCAATGAATAATGAGGTTTCGGATGTTTTATTTCATTTCAACTGTTCATGCCATCATTCATACCCAGCAAGCAAGAATAAGGTTCACTATTGTGACCTATCTTATCCTGATTTGAACTTGTTCTATGGTTTTTATATTACATGGTTATTTGGTATTCTTTCTCGATCTGAATATAAACAAAGGCTCTTTCTGACTGGCTTTTATACTTTTTGATTTCATAAACATATTTTTTAGCACTATTTCTGAAAATTCATATGCATGAAAATGTACTCTTCATCAATATACTTGTTTGTCTCATATAAATATTCAACTCTGTCAAATAAAACTTTAGACTGTCTTTACCTATTTTCGCACCTTACCTATGACTTTTCTTGATCTATTCTTGAAGATTGTCGAATTCGAACAGTCACATTTTTTATAAATTTTTCTTCACTTTTAGGATTCTATGCTTCGATATTTGCTCTATCTTACAAAACAACAGAGTCAACAGAATCATGCTAAGATGGCATATTGTAGCTTACATATATCTTATTGCAATTCTTATCTTATGGTTAACCTCACATATTATACGTTATGCATGGTAGTATCGTTCAACAGTTCGCATGATATATGAGATTGATGTCATTCGATATGTGAATACAACTTGGGCTCGACGTCGTATTCCTCGAGTTATTCATCAAATTTAGCGTATACACGATCTACCCTCAAGATGAAAAGCTACATTTCATTTCGTACTTACACAGAATGTTGGTGAATTTGAGCATCATTTGTGTACAGACGAGGAAATGGACATATTTGTCCAAAAATACGAACCGCAGTTCTCGGAGAATATATATATTATCTACCAATACGAAATTCAGCGTGTGGCCTCATTTCGTTACGTATTATTGTATCACTTGGGCGGCATCTATATTGATTTGGATGTCGGCCGCAATCGTCCGCTGAAAGATTTATTAAATAAATTAGAGACAGTAGATCCAGACTCGCGTCATCTAGCTGCATTTCCTTGTGATAAGTTTTCAGTCGGCATTGAAAGGGATTTTTTTATCAGTATGGCTGATTATCCATTATAGAAATAGCTTATTTCTCCGCTGCACTTCTTCCATCATTACTTTCTTTTTCATTTATGGACTGTACTAGTCAATACTGGTTCAATCTATGTTATGCTTCAAGAGCGTCTCTTTAGTTCCTCATCAGAGAATGATACTATTCGTCTCTTAGACTGCGATGTCATTCAGCCAATGTTTCTTTGGAAAGTAATTGAACAAGCGTGAATTAGCAAAGATACTTCCGTCCGATTCTTTATTAACGCTTACATGAATCGACTTCTTTCGTACCAGAAAAATATTCACTATCTCTCTTTCTCTGATTATTTTGATAAAACAGTACAGATTGAAACAATGAAGACGTCTGATTGGTTTCATCTTCGAGTTGTGAAAGTATTATTTTCATTTGGAAGATTGTAAATCCAAATCTATACTCGATCTATTATGAGTGTAAAAGCCTAAATAAAAAAATGTTACGTCGAATGGCATTACTAGGTACTTGACTTGATTTAAAAGAAAAAGAAGGTTAATCAATGAAACAGGTTCCTATAAATAAGAAATTCGATTTCATTCACGTCTAAATATCATACAACGGATTAAGCAACCATCAGCATAGTGTGAAGGATGTTGTTGTGGGTTATATTTGGAAGAAAGAGAAGATCCACACCTACACCCTATATCTTTTTTATACACTTTGCAGTAATGGTTAACTGATCAACAGGAATATATTCTTGATAATATATAGATATCACAAAGAATGTCTTTTTTTTAAAGACAATGCCCTCAGAAAAATATTTTTTCGAACGACTAGCGTAAAAATTTATCAAACACTTGCCTCTATAGTATGCGCAAAAAATAGCTCAATTAGCGATCATTGATTGAACAATCTCTCTGATAGTCGAATGTGAATTATACTGAATAGCTCATGTATATAATAACAAATAGGTTTTTATTAGAGTAAAAATGAAAAGTCAATAGTCTGAGAATTGTTGCTAGTAGCTGAAAGGTATTAGTACTTAGTTCCCAAGCGGAGCTCATCAGTCGTTCGTAAGAGATAGAAATGCGTACCACAAGGAAAAGCGTATATCTAGAACGTATGAAGTTTCTCTATATATTGCTTAATACACGGAAAGTGATTCTGAGTCAGTCGATAGTAACGCACCGGCAGCAGTATGTATATATATTCACAAAGTTTGATGACTAAAAACTTTATTCTTGAATAATAGTGAAATAAACAATATATGAGTAATGCATTCGTGCTCCTCATTTTTAACCTGAAGGTGCCCAAGTTGTAGATTGAATATCTCAAGAAGAAAACGGTTTCAGAAGCTAAAATTTTCGGTTCTTTTACATCTCACCTAGGAGTACATACAGGTAAAATTTCATTTATATACGTGCCATCAATTGACTGGATTTGGTCGTGTCTATCGTGCAGTTACTCTTGGAGAATTTCTGAGTGGTCATTATTTTTCTACTCTGGAAAATATACGATTTTGTAGCATTTAAAAGGAATATCAAATGAGCAATACTAAAACATTGATCATTTCAATTTTTAAATTAAATTATTTGTTAAAACATAAGTGTAGATAATAAATATAATGAGTATGCTCATAGTGTCTATCAGTACATCAGATCTACATCTCGCTTAATCAAATAATCAACTAGTAATTTATATATGGGATTGAAGCCTCACCAAAACTCAGCGAAATTGATAATTCCAATGGTATTTTATCGTGTCTGCTTATTCTCAAATCGAATCTACTATATAGTACAATGAATTATTAAACTAATGACCTAAAATCGATTACTTTATTCATAGCTTTTAACTTTAAAAGTTCCATCAAAACCTCATGAAACTAGTACTAAAATGCTAGTCTCAATATGCTCTGTTTGTTCATATATCATTCAATGTAGTTGCCAAGAAAAGTATTAGTGAACCCATTTGACCTCTTATGCGGTGCCTTCATTGTCACAGTGATTTTACAAAAACTTTAGCTCTCATAAAATAAAATAGAGAACTCGATCTATCGAATAGTGTGTAATCAAAGATGAAACACCACAAGGTGTCCAAATAATGATTCTACATACTGCGTATATTGAATAGATGGAAACCAACATTTTTTGATGTTGTATCCTGTAAGAGTCTTATTTCAATACAACATTAACCTTTGTGTTCTTTCCTTTTGATTTTGTAGACACGTACTGTGACTAAATTATAACATCAATCTTTGTTACAAAAGTATAGCATAAAAGTATGAATGTTGATTTGAATGAATCAGTAAATAAATAACATCAAGTCTCTCAACAGAAACATTATATAGTTAATTTATTGAAAAATTTTAAAGATAAATTGTAACAAATCTTTTCATATATTCACTAAAACTTGTTCATCTTCATTAAATAAAAAAAAACAATAAATCTATCTTTTTTTAACATTGTTGCGTAAAAAATGCTTTCACATCTGGATAATGTTGTCGTCTTGTCATTGTATTTAATCGATGACATATTTCACATAAACGATATTTTTCAAGTTCAGATGCTGTATAACCTGTATAATAATATTGTCTCCATTTATGATAAAAACGAAAAAGTTTTTCATTATTTATAATATCATACATATGTTTAGCTAATGCTTTTGCAGTAGAAAAATCATTCGTATAAATAAAAGAATTTGGTGGAGCTATACGACGATAATGTTCTTTTGATAATGGACCTAAAGCAACTAAAATAAAATAAAAAATAAAACAATAATGTATTAACGTAAATTCTAACATATATACTTGGTATCAAACCATATTTAAGTGCTCGCCAAAATTTTTCTGTTATATAATCTTTACAACTTTGACTTTCAAATGCTAAATAAAACATATTCAATTTTACTTGTTCTTCTTCACATGGTGACCAACGATTACAATTTATTGATTCAAATGTTTTATTATAAATTTTTTCTGATCGAATGAATTTTTTCGCTAATTGTCGTGAATTTAATGATGGTAAACTTTCATTTAATTGAACACATGAACCAAATACTTGTATAGGAAAATATTCACGTAATTCTCGAAAATAATTTAATCGTCGTTTAGCACCACAATTTGTGACAAACCAAAGTGCTTGATGATGACGAGAAAAAAATTCATGAGTAATATAATTATTAAATTCTTCATTTGACAATGATTTTTCTCGTATAATTGTCATTCCATATGCACCAATCGATGCTTCAGCATCAAATACATATGATGTTGTCCAATTAAATTTATAGATATTAAGATCATAACCATGAATAAAATTTGGTTCATCATGCCAAAGAAGCCAAATTTGTGAAGAATTTCGAGTAAAATTATTTGGAGGAATGGTATGTGGTGTTGTATCATATTTATGAAAAAGAAGTAAATGTGCTTGTGATGCTAATGAATGATTACAAGAATAAAAACAATTTTTATATGGACATTTATCACCAAATATTTCTATTTGAGTTTTTGTACAAAATTTCTTATTACCAAAAAAATTTGTATATTCAATAAATAAGAAATTTTGATATGATTTATTAATATCTCGTATGTCATTATCGAGAATTTTATGATGTTTTGATAATGATATATGATCTTCATTTGATGCTAAAAAATCTTTTTTATTGAAATAAACTAATAAATTTGTTCGATTTATATCAAATGGTGATGGATAAATAACAGTTGAATAATCAAATTCATCATTTATATTCGAGGAAGTAGAAGAAGAAGAAGAAGAAGAAAAAGAAAACAGAATTCCAATGGTAGATGATATCATAATAAAAATTACATAAGAACGCTTTTTATATCGTCTTTTACATAACTTAACCATTTTTATTCTTTATCTTTGAGTTGTGTTTTAGTAGTGTAAGAAGGCCACATAATAAACTGCCATCTAGCATACGAGGTATTTTATTTTATTCTTTTTATTACGGTACGAAACAGAAAAGAATGGATGTCAAAAATATATAACATAGAGTACATAAAAATGAATATTTCGGTATCTTGTTCTCTAGGTTGACAAGATAGGGTTTAGAAACAGTAAATCACTTGTATCTATCTATAACATAGTTATGATATGATAACTATAATACAAATGACTGTATAGGATAACGAAAAAGGGCATCTATGCATAAGGATTAAAATTAATCGAAGAGTAATATCTTGAAACAAAGAATAGGAAACCTGTATACGCTGCACTTGTCATCATATATAAACGTATTTTGCTGTATTACATGGGTGAGTGTTATAAATGAATTGGTTGAATCGAAGATATTTTTAAAAGTGGCGATCATTGTTATTAAACAATTGAATGATTTGACTGATTGTTCAATGGTGTAAACAGAAGAATGTCATGTATTAATTGTCAAGGGTTTACTGTCAGATAAAATCGATAAAAATGGGTGTCTATGCGTAAAAATATAGGTTCTTTTGAAGTTTTCAAACAGGACCATTTGTTCTTGTTTGTTGAAAAAGAAAGCAAATATTTGGGAAAATTTCAACTCGTCACGATTTTTATTTTCTGGCTTTCGTAACGAATAGACAGTACGAAAGCCCGTAACAGAGCTTTCGTAACGACAGGATCAGGGTTTTCGTAACAAAAAATCAGGGGTTTCGTAACAAATTTTACAGGGTGATCGTAACGGGTGTTTTGATATGTACCATTTCAGAGCTTTCGTAACGAAAAGCATGTAATTTTTGCAAACTAAGTCCAGCTATCATCCTCATTCTCGTTACGAAATCCCTGTTGCTTCGTTGCGAAAGCTCTGCAACTGTTACGAACTCCTTGTATTAATCGTTACGATCGCCCTGTAAATTTCGTTACGAAATCCCTGTATTTTTGGATATCCCTATTTTTGGTGTTACGAAAGGTCTGATTTTTGCTGTTTGTTCAACTCGTCACGTGACGAGTTGAAACTTTCTCAAATATTTTATTGTATTAAAATATGCTCTTGCTTGACTCGGTAACAGAATGGAGTATGAACACACAATTAAGATTCTAATAAAAATCATATTATGTGAATAATTTGACAGTTATTGGCAATAAAGATAGCATAGATATATCACTAATTGTAATGATTTCTCCGTTATCTCGATAAGTATTTATGTGTTCCATAAAATTTATGTTGCGACAAGATTGCTTTTGTTTCTGTAACACTCGATAATTGATAAAATTTCAACAGTTAATAAGTATTCAATTGTTTCCTTATCAAATGCATATTTTTGATATATACCATTGCTTTTTCATCACGAAGCACATGAAAATATGGAATGATTGATGCAACTTGTAAAATAAGTGTCATTTTTTTGTTTACAAAGTATTTCATCAGATGAAAAAGGACTTGATGTAGACAATTTTTATAATTATAAGTGAACTATACTATATCTGTGTCTTCTAGTTATAATATTAGAGCACAGTAAATGGTGGTAAGCACTATTGAAATAAACAGTTAAATTTGTTGTCTTAATACTATAACCGTTAATATATGATGCATATTCATTCCCTAGTCGAACATCTTGTAAGTAAGATCTTGAAATCTTGGGATCGGTAAGCAAGATCTTATCAAGATCTTGAAAAGATAATTTGTATGTACACGTCCTGGTTGTATCAGATAAATCTGTACCTAAGATCTTGGCAAGATCATGTAAAAGATATCGTTTACTATTATCTTCCTACAAGATCTTGAGTAAAACACAGAGCGACATCATTAGTGTATTTATTACGTGCTGACTAGTCATTCACCGCTTTTTTATGCATACATAGTGGTATATAAACAACATGATTGAACATACGAGAGATACATTTTGAAAATAATTTTTTTTTTCTAAATTATTTCTCGACTATTGATTATTCGAGAAAATGCTGATCTCGATCGATGGTCGAGAGAGGACTACTCTGAAGTGGCCTGGTGGAGATCGGACCAATTCAAGGCTAGTCAGATCCCAGCATCTGACTTGCTTTATATAATCGGGACAGAAATAATTAAAATAAAAATAAATTCCAAAAATATCATAACATGCTTTTATCGAAAAAAATAAAAAATGCGCTATATTTTAGGTTCGAACCACGCATGCAGAATTCGTGATACATTGTCGCAAATCATCACACATGCAACACGTTTTATCTTAATGTGTATCTCAGATCTTATGAATTCGTAACTAAGATCTTACACATCTGTACCAAAGATCTGTAGTCAGATCTTGGTACAAGATATTAGGATTATCTTGTACCTAAATTTTCAAGATCTGTTAACTTATCTGTACCCAAGATCTTGGCCAAGATCTTGCTTACAAGATGTTCGACTAGGGTTCTTGCTCAATTTTGAATTCGACTTTTTGATAATACAGTAAGAAAAGAAACAAGAAAAAAACATATCAAATTTTTTTTTGATGTTTAAAAGATGTACCATCAGAAAATCAGGCAGAAGGTAAACATTTGGTTGAAGAAAAAATTCTGATCTAAATATTATAAAACTTGGGTGTCGGCTTAGCATTAGTGTTAGAAAAATGCTAATACTTTTGCATTAGGGTTAAAAATTTAACTTACTGTTCTTGGGTTAGAATTAAAAAATTACTTTAATACTTTGGCATTAGTATTAGAAAGGTATTAGTCTAATACTAATGTCTATAGTTCCCGAAAAAAAGAACAAAATTGCTTCTTTATGATAATTTTTTTCCCAAAGCAGAACACTTTTGTTCCATTATGGGAAGCTGTTCCCAATAAAAGAACAAAAGTGTTCTGTTTTAGGAAAAAAATTATCATGAAGAAGCAATTTTGTTCTTTTTTCGGGAACTATAGGCATTAGTATTAGACTAATACCTTTCTAATACTAATGCCAAAGTATTAAATTCATTTTTTTAATTCTAACACAAGAGTATTAAGTTAAATTTTTAATCCTAATACAAAAGTATTAAAATTTGCATTAAATAATGCAATGTTAATGCTAAGCTGACACCCCTATATAAAACAAAGATTCTATGGAAATAGTATTAAATCCCAAAT